TTGGGTGCCATAACTTCCCTTAAATCCAGATTCTTTCCCTGGAGAGAGTTGTGGTATCACCTATTAGGTTCCTAGCGGACAAGTACAGTGTCTGCACCAAGTTTGTACCCATGGGAAAAGGAACACACTTGATAATCCTTTGCTGGACTGTGATCACTCTGTGATCAGTCAGTAACTGACTCCAACAGTGAACACGTCTTTAAGAGAATGTGGCTCTAGCAGCAGTGATGCTGATCTTCCATGAGTCAGAGTACATTGTTTGGGACTTTTGATAAACATGTCATTATGTGAGGCATGACAGTATGTTATGTCACATGTGAGTATCTATTTACATTTGGAAACAAAAAACATCATATGGTGCACCTCAGAGACAATCAGTGCTGGTGTTTGGAAAGTATTTGCACTCCCAGTATTTCATCAGCTCCATAAGAAAACTACATGGGATTGAGGACATTGAGAGCATCATGGTGAGACCAGGAATGGTGACAGTAGGGAGAAAAGGAAGGAGTAACAAGACTAAGAGAGCTCTCTGATCACTCTTAAGGACACAGCCACAGAACATGCACATCTTTATATACTGATGTGCTGAAAGAAGGTCACTAGGGTTCGGCAGCAGCAACAAGTCAAGTCACCACAAGAAGAAGTAAAGATGTGAACAGTGCCTTCTCACCAGGTGCAGTTAGTAGTTAGTCTGAAGTAGAATTTTAAACCCCCTAATCCCTACAGCAATTTCATCTTCAGGGCAGTACCACCCAGCATTAGCAGGAAGGATCAAAAGACAAGGCTTATTTCACTCACATATGTTGGTGTTATACACTAGTAAGAAAGGGTGAAGAAGAAGAAGTAAAGATGTGAACAGTGCCTTCTCACCAGGTGCAGTTAGTAGTTAGTCTGAAGTAGAATTTTAAACCCCCTAATCCCTACAGCAATTTCATCTTCAGGGCAGTACCACCCAGCATTAGCAGGAAGGATCAAAAGACAAGGCTTATTTCACTCACATATGTTGGTGTTATACACTAGTAAGAAAGGGTGAAGATGAGAGGGAGGAGCTGCTATGTGACACCAGGTCACTTTGTGACTTGTTTACTGGTTGCAAACAATTCCAGCACTGAATAACATCCATTGTGGCCAGCGGGTGTTATCAAGCTATTGTTCAGATGGATAAGCAGAATAATTTGAGGTTTCAATCCCAAGTTTTGTTTCAATAGATATTTCAAAGAAATGATGATTCATGTCACATTCTGACCACGAAGTGGTGGCAGGTTTTGTTTCAGGATGAGCTCTTTGACTGGAGTTCTTGTCAGACTCTATGATTCACTATTCTGTGCTGACATGTCCCACACAATGTGCACCAGTAGCATAGAGGCAATAAAACCAAAGCAACACAAACAGGATAAAAAAGTCTAAGTGGGGGAAAAGAGCAGACTTTCACAGGTCAGTATAAGTAGTCATATATCAGAGACAAAGCAATACTGAGCTTTATTTATATAGAACTGCCACAAATAACATCTTTCACTGTTTTATTTACTGGACCCATAATAATCTGCAATTATAAAATAGGCCATGCTATTTTGATAAGAATGTATACTCTGGCCCACAATACAGATCTTCTGAGGTTTAGGAAAATAAAAGTCTAGCTAACAAGAGAAAAACAACTGCCATTTTGCACTAATAAAATATTAGTAATCTTATGATATAGAAATAGACACTTCTCAATAAATGGTAGTAGTAAGATAATATTGCTACATTATTACTAAACAAAGCACATTGATGAGAAGTTTGTGCAACTGGAAATAAGAAACATAATTGGGATTGTTGTAGTAGAGGATGCTGTATCTCATTTGGACGTAAGATTAACAGTGTAGAGCTTCAGTTATGGAATATCACGGGAAGGCTGTTGGTTGTGGGTCTTGTTTCAGATTATCCTTTTCATACCACCGTCCAAAAAGTGTCACTGTAACAATTGGTTTTGTCGGTTTTGTTTTACTTATCAAGCGCCCGTCATTCAGCACCTGATTGAAGAAGGGAAGAGAAGAACATATGAACATGCTAAGAGCTCAGAAAAATGTGACAAAACAGGAAGAAGTTATGTCAGACCACATCTCTTACTGAAACTAGGCATTTCATTTAAAGGTATTCAATAGATCTGATTATTCACTATGAGCAAGCTCACTTTGGATGTTTTGAGACAGTTTATTCCATGACTATCCTGCAGAGGACCTAGCATGACACAGCTCCAGGGTATCCCATTACCTCAAACTCCCCAGGAGCCAGCTGCACCCCACTGTACAACACTTCTGGGAAGACATAGTTGGTGCCAAACGTGCCGCTGAGGGAGAACATATCAAACTCAGTCTGAGCCATCTCCACGGGCTGCCCACACGTGTCCAGGTCTGTGCTCTTGCATTTGAGCAGTGTGCATATCTGCAGGGAGGAGAAGATGACATATTTAGCAAGACAGAAACATTCTGGTATGAAAGCCTTGTGTCATCAAAGCTAGTGTATGTCAGAGCAGGTGACAGTCACAGGATCTTTTTCATAATGTTAGGATAACTCCTTTTTAGTTGTAGCTTAATCTCTCACCCCTTGGTCTGACTGGGAGTATTCCAGACCTGCATTGCCCTAGTAGTTATAAATAGACTATCTCTGATGTAAGTGTTGCCAGAGCACCTTATTTCATCCCTGAAGCCCAATCCTGTCACTTCCACTAATTCTTCAATTGCCAGTTCTCATATTTGAAGTTTCCTTTCCCTCATGACTTAGTAAGATGAGTTTCTGAATGGACATTTTATGCAAAAGAAATAAAGTCCTCCTCATGGGGAAGTTGTGCGAAAGTACACCCAGGTCCTCTTACTGGTAGTTGTACATGCTGCTAATGATACTTGATTAGATGGCCTGGTAGTCCATGGGAAATCTGATTTTGATGTTCCCTGTCCAAGTCATGGTCAAGGTGATGAAGTTAGCATCTTCTGTAACAGTTTTGTGTTAGTAGTTAGAGAAAATATAGGAAAGTAAATGTAATATTTTCTTTTGGTCCTTAATTATCCAGCTGATAAATGCTTATGGTCTTCATGAGGAAGTATGAAACAAGGCTAGCCCTCCTGTAATTCAAGAGTGGAAGGATGTTGGCTGGTTTTGCTGCCAAGTGATGGAGTTTTTCTATCTGTGTCAGATGTTGAGGGATAGGATCATATTAGCAAATATGAACAGTATTATTCATCAGCAAATATGGTTTCATGTTGAAATGAAAATAAGCAGAGAAATAAACAGTATATTCTAAGGAAATGTCAAAAAACACTGAGACAAAAAGGAAGAGTAGAAATTCTGTCTTCAACTTTCAGTACTGGTGGAGACTATCTGGCAGCTTCCAAAATCACTGAAATAAATTTTCCAAGAAAGCTTACCAAGAACTGAATATATTCAAGCTACCATCCTAAATGCATTAGATGAGCTGTTTTCTGGCTAAGACCTCCCTTCACATCCTGGAGTCTGTACCAGCTGTTATGCAAAGGCCATGTTGACAGACAGAAGTAAGTAATTAAAAAAAAAACTTCTAATCTGCTGGCACAATAACTTAATTATGAAAGCAGAGAATGTTTTCTACTACGGCTTTAAGCAAATTCACCAGGATGTAACTCACTGTCTTCCCAAACCTTTGATTATAAGAGAGGAAGAGTATATTTCCAATAAAAGCCATATGCCATTTCAGTAAACTTCATTGCTATGATTTGGATAACGACAAAAGGTTAACATCTCTGTGACTCAAAATTACCAGAGCACCTCACAAAGATAGCTATGACCATCTGATTTTTAATATTAACTCATGGATTAAGATACAAAGGAGATTCAGAACACTTACTACAATAGTCACAGAAGAGAACTAAATTTAGCCAATATTGCACGCCCAAAAAAATAGTGAGTGCACTCTGAGACTTTCAAAGAGGTTTAGAGATCTCTTCACTGCATTTGTTGGATTTAAAGGTAAGTAGGGTTGGACATTTTAGCAACTCCTTCCCATTGCTAACAAACAGATCACCAGGACTCCAGCATACAAGAAAGGCATTGTATTTTCTTTTTCTGCGACAGAGCTGAAGGTTTCGCCCTGCAAAGAAGCTTCCTAAAGTAAGTAGCCCCCTCCAAAGAATTACCTGCAGATAGTATTGCCCTTCAACAACATGAAGCCCATCAAAAGCACCCAGCACATATCTTTCATCTTCTGGTTTCCCTTCCATCTTGTAGCTCAAGTGACAGCAGAGGTCTTTTTGGCAAACAGTGAGATTCCCCTCAGGCTTAGTTAGCTCAGTGAAAGTGAACTGATCATGAAAGATAATTCCTGGGAAATCATGGTCATTCTGTGAGAATCTTTTGATACTCAAAGCATATGAACTCCAGCTGACAGCAGGTGGGGAGGCAGAAGAATGACGAGGGTGTGCATCTAGTTCAGCAACAAGGAGGTGACCATCCTCAGTTTTCATATTGTAGGAGTATGTTCTGGCTCCATCTGGTGCATAAATACCACTCCCTGAGGAGAGCACAACAGTCAGTCCACAAAGAATGAAAAGAATCATATTATTCTTTTAAGTGGCCCTACTGCTATCTTATCCACGATTCTATAAATATTACATAAATCTTAGACTCATCAAAGGTGACCATTAGCAGCTTAGTACACAGAGCTTTGGTGAAGAATAGCATTTATTCCTCTGGATGAAGTCTCCTCAGTGTAGCCAAAGGCATAGGATGCTTGTTCAGTTATGTTATGATTATTTTTCTGGTCCCCTCAGTTCTCTTTTCTCCTGTATGCAATAGAATTACTTGGTAATTCCTTTATTCTCAGCTAATTGATGTAAAAGAACCATCTACAGACTGCAATGATCCAAAACACAACACAGGCAAGTATCACAGGCCTGTCCTGGTGGACTCAAGAGAGAGCAGCTGTCCAGCCCCCATTACACATGGGGAATTCACACCTGACCAGTACCAAGCAACAGAGGGAAATCAAAGATCTGTCATATCCATCACTGCTGAACAGCCACATAAAATGGACAACAAGCAGAAGCTTGTCAGGCATTTCAAACAAGAAGTCCCACACCATTATTGTGTTTCACTGCTTAGTAAAGATACTGATCTAACTGAAATATATTATTCTATAAGCTAAGCTCTACCAAATCAGTGCTGCATTCTTTAAAGAAAATAGAAACTTCTCAGCAGTGTTACTGCAATAGGTCTGAAAATCTGTTTTTAACACTTTTCCATAATCATGTTAAATACAGCTACAAATATGCAGCCATGTATGCAGTTTACAGTTTGGCATTCAATCACAGACTTAGAAGTGGAGAGGAAAAGAGGCTAAGTGTCAAAATTTCTATTAAGGCAGAAGGGGCAGTAACATACTACTTGTTTAGAGGCATTAAAAAGAGAAAAAGAAAAATCCTAAGTGTGAGGGCAGAGAAAATACTACAGGTTTTGCTGTGCCTTGTAAAGCACCAATAGGAACAGGATCAGTCGGCTTTAAAATTTGGTGACTAGACTCTTTGACTTCAAGATAAATGCATTATATTCCTTTGCAAAGTCACCTTGCAGAACAGGGAATAGAGAGTCACAGTTATAAAGACTTTTCAAGCAAAGTGAGAATTAAATTACCTGTCATTGCCAAGCTGATGTTGTGACTATTGGCAGCTAGGAAGTTGACACCCATGCCCATAGCCCAGGCAGAGTGAAACTCAACTGCAGTCAGAAAAGGCAGGACATTCATCCAAGCTGTTGGGAACAGCACAGTGTCCACCTGCATCTTGCTCACCAGGACCACAGCAGGCTCATGGAAAAGGATGTCGAAGCAAGTGAAGATGCCAAATTTCCCAAAGGGAGTCTCAAAGGTGACAGCTTCTGGCTCTTTTGGGTAATTAAACTGATTTTCTACCATAAAGAGATTATACTGT